CATACTGTCCGTATCTCAGTTCTTCTGTTTCCCAACTAACCTCGATTCTTAACCTATGCCATAAATCACTTGGTTTTTTAAGTCATTTTCTCGATTGGCATGTTCCCCACCGGAAAAACAATCGTCTCCGCTTCTTCATATTCGTTTGCTTGTTCTGTTTTGTCTTTAATAACCGGATTGAGAGAAGGATTATCGTTGCTACATTGATTCTTTGAATTCTGCTCGCTAATGCAGTGATCACAAGCGAAGAAAACACGAACTAGCGAACAAGCTCGTTTTCGATAACTTCCTCATCTGGCTGATACAGTTATATAAATAGGTAAAAGGCTTATCACATCTGCATAACGTTTGACGTGTTTGTGTGGATTGGACTGGTAGATATAATTAGTTGTTCATGTATGGTTTACAAACAAAAATGGAGTGTTGGGTGGATGAGTAAGGGTGTCACAAGAGGGTTTGAAAACACTGAGAGACAACAGTTATATTTCTGCAACTACTTATGAACAACTGCGACCCACGGGAACCTTTATTCCGCACTTGTACGGTTCACCGAAAGTACATAAACAAGGCATACACTTGAGACCAATACTTGGCATGAGTTCCTCGCCATATCATCCAGTAGTCAGATGGCTTGCAGACATATTGGAGCCGGTCCGTCGACGCATTTCATGTTTTAGTCTAAAAGACACGTTCCAGTTCGTAGAGCTAATGAGAGTAAAGAACATAAAAGGATTGAGGATGGCCTCGTTCGATGTCACTTCGTTATTCACTAATGGGCCACCTTTGGAGACGATTTCATANATACCTATGGGAGTATTAAGGGGAAAACGAAATCAACATTGGTATTCCACTGACTAGCTTAAAGGAACAATTTTTCCGTTTCACATTCAACGTTCAGTTCTCTTTCAACAATGAAATCTATCGTCAGATCGATGGAGTATCGATGGGTTCCCCACTAGGACCCCTAATGGCTGATATATTTACGGCCAAACTAGAAAACGATGGACTCAAAACAACCATAGATAGTCCGCCTTTTTATTGTCGTTATGTAGGTGACATCTTCGTTTTGATACACGAGAAAACCTCATTGGAAATGTTATTGAGAAAATTCAATGAGGTGCACGCAGCTATTACTTTTACATTAGAAGTGGAATCAGGAGATACCTTCC